TTCCTCTGCCCCTTCAGAATCCAGCTTGTACTTCTGGGAGTTCTCGGTCCACATACTGCTGAAGCCTACCTTGTAGGATTTTGATATATACCTGGCCACAACTGCAAGGTATCCGGTATACTCTACACCAGAGCACAGAGTGCTGTCCTCTGAAGATGCCGGCCAAAGAGACTGGTGAAACGTTAGGAAGAACAATCTTCAGAACACAGCCAAAGAGACTGAAAGCCCCACAACAACCATTAGATCCCGGCCGTGAAAGCCTTCGCAAATATAAAAAAAGTAAGATTACTTATACAAACATTTTGCACATCAAAATATGCACAAGGCAATATCTGGGGGTGTAACACTAGCTCTCGTCGCAAATATACTTTGAAAAGAGTTTAAGTGTTTCAAATTATTATCTGGGCTGGTTTGGTTTCTTTTGGGGGAATTTTACGGATTACAAATCAACCCTGAGACCTATCAATACAGTGCAAGGGAGAAAAGTAGGATATAATGATAATAAATGAATGATTTTGGGGGGGTTGTTGTGAGTTTTTTGGGCTCTTTGGCCGTGTTCTGAAGGTTGTTCTTCCTAACCTTCAGAACATGGCCAAAGAGCCTGAAAAACCCACAACAACCATTAGATCCCAGCCATGTAAATAGATTTTTTTAAAATGACCCTGGATCTGGCAGTTATTCTGAACAAGAAACCATCAAAACTAGACTGATTTCACAGCCTCTATAACAGAGGACAGCCGTGGTCAAATCCTGATTCTCACTCACCAGCGGCTCCAGTTCCTTGACATCGATGAGGCCGAACTCTTTGACGAAATAGTAAAAGTGCTTGTAACAGGTATTCACATGAGCTTCTGAACCCATCTGGGCGATGCAGTCGAAGTGGTGGATGTAAACATGGACGAAGACCCGGAAAAGACGAGACAGGATCTTTTTCACCGCCTGGAGGAAGTTCTTGGGAAACGGGGTGCCTGCAGGAGAGACGTGACGAAGAAATGATCGAATCTGTGCATGCAATTTCTCAAGCAATTTCCCTTTCCTAAAATTTCTGAAGAAAAGAACAAGGCCCCCAACACGGCCAATTAATCAAGGGTCTCTTTACAGCTTCCGTAAGCCCAGATCCAAAATCCGGGGTTCTGCCCTTGTAGGCGCTGGCATTCCCCTTCCCCGGGGTCTCCCACGGTAGGGCTGGGAGCATCCGTCCTTCAAGAGAGGGACGCCCACCGTCTGACACAGAAGACGTCTCTCGCGAGGGCTTACCCACGCTGGTGGGAAACAGGTCTTCGTTGTTGATCTGGACCTCGATCCAATCCATGAGGAGGTCCACGTATTTGGGGGCGGAGAGGGCCGTCGGCTTGCGGTACTTCTCGTCCTGCCACCGGTACTCGTATTTGGGCCCTCCAGACATAACCGGGCAGGACTGCTCTGTACAATGGTCGCTGACGGTCCCGTAGATGAGGTTGATCCGGTTGAAAAAATCCACCACGTGGACGGCCACCCAGTCGTTCAGCTCCTCGCCGGGGGGCAACTGGACGGCCAGCTTCAAGTCCAAGCCCGCGTTGAGCGACGCCTGGGCTTTTTTATGGAGCTCGAAGCGCTGTGTCCCGGGTTCGAATTTCCGCTTCGGGCGGAAGGTCCTGTCCTTGTTGAACACTTGCTTCAAAGGGTTCGACATGGCCTCGGTTCACAAAGGCTCCCTCCGAGGGCTTGACGGCGGCAGATCCACCACCCGGTGGAGTTATCCCGGAGGCAGCTAAATCTTCAGTGAGTTCCACCAGCGGTCCAAAAACACTGCAATCTGCAGTCAAAGGTTTACACAGGACAGGATTCAGACAGAGATCTAAAGAGGCTCCCAAAGCAGAGGTACATCGTTTTATCTACAATTCGGTTATCTAAAAATTAAGTTTACCATGCTGATTCATGGCTTCCTTTACCAAGTCTATCCCTCTCACATTCAGGCCCTCCTCTTTTCCTTCTTCCCAGTTTTCCCAGCATCACTGTCTTTTCTTGTGAGTTTTGTCTTCCCATAATATGCCCAAAGGTAGCCTCAGTGTAGCCATTTTTAGCTAACTAGAGGCTTCTGGATTCATCCATGCTAGCTCTTAAACTTCACATTTTAATTTATTTTTAATAGTACTGCTGTCTTTAGCAGGATAAGAAGAGTCTGGCCAGTCCCAGACCAAAGGTCTACCTAGTCAAAATACGGTGTTCTGTTTGTACAAGTGGCATGATCCTGAAAGTTTAAATAAAACAGGAGACAGAGGCATTATGTATCCCCCTGTCCTTTGGTCCTCTGAGATACACTGCTCCTGAATTTGGAGGTTCTGTTTTAGGAAGTGACTGAGCAGCAGCAGAAAAGGAGTGCAGCTAACTTCCCTCGCTGTGCATGGCAAGGCTAGCCAAGTAAGAAGGCTTCGCAGGCGGAAGCTTCCAGTGTTTCTAATTAGACAGATGGGGTTCGTTAAGGAAATTAGGAATAGCTAAGCCCCCCCACCCACCGACAAAGCCAACCAAAAGGCAGAACAGAGAAGCTGCAAGATGAGTAAAGAACCCACCAAAGGCTGACTCCCTCTAAACCACATCCTGTGAACTCACAGCTGTTCTGGGGAGAAAAGCGGAAATGCCCGAGAGAAAGATAGAGCGTCAGCCCAACCCAAAGAAAGAAAAGACATTTCGGACATTTCTGCAAAAACGAGAACAGTTGCCTTTGAACTGCCCGGCTTTTCGTTAGTTAAATAAGCCAAAGAAACGGTTGGACTACACCTCCCATCCTCCTCATCATGAAGGCCTGGGGCCCATGGGCATTGTGGTCAGACCATCTGCTGGGCTGTCCTTCCCCCCAGCCTGCTTTAACCACCCTCTCTGGACCTGCGATGTTCTGAGACGCATCTGTGCATAAATAAATTACAAAGATCACCCCAATCCTAAGAGCCATCATCCTTTCCTCCCCCCCCCCATGACCTCCTTACCTGCATATCTTCGAGGGAGCGAAATAAATCCAGGCGGGACCAAAACGTTTATCAGGAATCTGTTTCAAAGAGACTTTTTTTAAAAAAAAGAAGGGGGAAAAGGATATATAAGAGGAGGTAACCCAAAGACCGGATACAATATTCTAAAGAAAATATCTGTTACAGGCAAGCGGAGAGGGCAAACAGGTGAAAGAATCTCTTCTCGGTTAAAACCCTCAAAAAGCAGAGTTTCTCGGGGGGCACGGAGGCAAAAGCTCAGGGATGAATAACACCCTCTGTCATTTCCTTTTAGGGAGAGATAAACCCTCGTAGGAAACACAGGGGAGGGAGGCAGAGAAAAACCCATCTGAAAAAAGTCACTTCTGGGAAGTCTTGCTTCTCACTGACAAGGTTTTCCAAAGAAAGGGGCTGATCCTGACATCTCAAAAGCTTGAGAAAAAACAAACAACCAAAAGCACACACATACAACCTCCCTCCCCTATTTTTTCTTTTTCTTTTTTGCTTGTGCCCTCCACTTGGATTTTCCAGGAACCCTGCTATTGTACAGAGAGGCTCTCTTCTGGCCTTCCCCCCCTCTCTCTATACAGTTATATAAACGAGTTACATGATTTAAAAATATGTTTTGTTTTTAAAATTGCCACTTTAAATTAAATTACCAGCATGCTGGAAAAGGACAGGAAATCCACCCCCACAGAATTTAGGTGATTTTCGAAGTCCTAGGCCTGCCCCATCATTACTCTCTGGAATTTTTCCAGTAAGAATTTCCCCGAAAAGGAAATGCAGTGTGTACTGTATTGCCAGCTGGGAAACCCCCAGGATCTTTTTCCAAATTAAACAGTGAAGTCAAGCAAACCATGCCTTCTCCTTGTTTATTTTTCTAAAGGAAGAGGGCTGGTTTAAGGAATGGCTTCCCCTCATTTCCCATTCCCGGAATGGAGAGATTTTGAGACTGGGGTTCAAAGCAGGATTTTATATAGCTTTATCTGTCGTGAGCCACCTTAGGTACCCTATGGGAGGAAAGGCATCCTCATCCCCATCACATTTAAACAGAAAGAGATTGACACATATTTAGGGTTGCCAACTTCTCAACTGGCATCAGTGCCTCTGCCTTAACCGGTGGAAACCAGGTAGTGCTTTCTTTGTGTTAAAAACTGGCAGCTGCTCTTACTGCTACAATGCCATCAAGCCGCTTCCAAATTATGGAGACCCAAGAGATTTATCACCTTCAAAAGATCCTCTCATTAACAGCCCAAACTCAAAAGTCGTGGCTTCTCTTACTGAAACCCTCTCACATCTGGAGTTCCTCTTTTCCTATGGCTCCCCACTTTTGGTACCATTTTTACCTTTCCCAGCCAGCGATGTGCCCAAAGGAGGGGCAGCCTCAATTCAGGCATTTTAAAGGAAAATCCGGCTTGATCTGATCTTGAAAAAAAACTCAAACAGCTCGTAAAAAGCAGAGGCGCGCAAGGCTAGGGGGAGTTTTCTGGTCAGTTGGCAACCCCAGCTGAGCAACAAAAGAGCGACGCATCGGCGCTTTGGGGAAGGAAAACACCCCTGAAGTTGATATGTTGCCCTGCAGGCACAACTGGCCTTCACCACGTTCCTCCTCGCGAGGAGGACCCGCCGCTCCTGAACAGGCAAGAGACCGGAAATCCGACCGCAGGAGACGCTAAGCCTTCACTTTGCAACATATTAGGTACACTTGCTCTGTCTCTCTCCCGGCAAACGCGCTTGCAAATGGATCGAGAGGAGGACACGCGTCCTGAGTTCCCACGTGCAGACTTACCTGCGGGTTCCGGAGACGATCCCAAGCAGCAGCCCTCCCCCAGGTACCAGCTCCTTAAATGGAAAGAAAGGGGGAAAAAAGACGGCGTTTACTCCACCCCGAGGGCAGGATCGGGGCGAAGCGCCGCCTCTTCCTTCCTCTTTTTTTTTCTCCCTGGCCTCCTTCCGGGTCCCGATCCTGCCGGGTGGGGCGGAGGAACCCGCCCTGAAGCCCGGAAACAAGTTTGCAACCCCCCCCCCAAAAAAAAACCAACCCCACCAAACGCATCGTTTCTCTTCTCCATCCTCATCTTTAGACCACCGCTGCCATCCTTCCGGGGGGGCGGGGGGCTCGAGATCTTCTGAACTACAAGGCCCATCATCCCCCATCACCCCCCTCTCTGCTACCACCCCCTCTGTCTCCCTTTGGGACCTTTTTACAAAGAGGGTCCTTCCATTAGAGAGATTCCATTAGGGAAAAAAAAATCCAAAAATGGAAACAAAATGTGTCACAACAAGGAGGAGGGAAGGCTCGTTTGAAAACCAATTTTAGCTGAGTTTTTAATGGACTTTTGAACCCAGATCACCCTCAATAACTACAAGACCTTTATTGTCATGTTTAGAAGGGGTGGAGGGATGAAGGAAAGATTGCGCCTGGAAAATCCAAGTGGGAATCCTTAAGAAGAGACAAAAAAGAGGCTAAAATATTTTGAGCCCCGGGGGTGGGTGACAAATGAAGGGCTCTGTCGGCGATGGGTGGCTGATGGGACTCGGTGTGGCCTCATTGGGGTGACTTGGGATGGGCAATCAATCGGGCAACGGGGCGATGGGGTGGGAATTCGCTGCGGAGAAGCGGGGTGGGATTCGAGGGCTGCTTTGTGGGATGCCCGGGGTTCCAGAGCGTGCTCTAGAACCAGAACACACACACACATACATACACACCCCGGGTGGGCGACGCCTCCATTGTCAGGCGGGACGAGGTCATCCGATGGAACCAAGACGGCCAGCCCAGGCATGGGTTGCCACTGCCCGTGCCTGGCCTTGGTGGCGGTGCTGATCCTGGGCCCGATCCCGTCTTCCTGGTCTTGCCTGCAGTGCGACCCTAATTTCAACCTTCACTTCGCCTCCTACGCCCCGCACTTGAGCCGCAAGTCCTGGGGGCTGGGGGACGTGCCGGCCGCGGGCCGGAGGCTGCGGGGCTGGGCCCGGGACACCGTCCAGGAGTTGCAGCTTGGGGTGCCGGCAGAGATCCGTGAGTCGTTGCCCCGCACCTCTCAGGAAGAACCTCTCCCCCTCCGCCTGACCTCACCCACATGCATAGAGTGGCCGGCCAGGTCAGGGGGTTGCGTGTGGCGTGTGATTGCAGCCCTCCGGAGGTGGCCAGACTCCGCTGGGCCCCTCTTGGGGGAAGAGCCCTTCATTTCCAAGGTGGCCATTTACAGGTTCCCTTTGCCGTGCCTTTACAGGCCGTAATGCAAGAGGTGGAGCTTTACAGGCCGTGATGCAAGAGGTGACATTTTCCAAAGGGGAAGTGCTGCCAGTTGCGTTTAAAATGCCCTTTTTTTGCAACCATGCCAGCTTAGCCTGTAAGACTTTGCTTCTTTAGACACCGCAGGGGTAGATTTATAGAATGGGAAGGGACCCCGAAGGCCATCCAGCCCACCCCCAGGCTGACCTAGCAAAAACCAAATGCCAGCCTTTGTGCTCCGCTTTGCACCCAATGAGGCCTTGAAAATACCGGTGTTTCGCCCGCTGTCCTAGGAAGTCTAAAATGGCACAGATTCCGGGATGCCCGATGCACAAACCAATTTCTCCCCTTTCCCCCCCCTCAGCGATGGATAAACTGCAGGAGATAGCGACGCAAGTGTACGCCAAGCTGGACCTGTTGTTCAAAGGACACACGTACAAGTCAGGTAAATAGAGACGCCTACCTTGAATCGTGGGGTGGTCTTGGACAGGGCCCCATTCCCACAAATATTTCTCGGCTGCATTCCCCACGTCCACTGTCAAAATGTGCGCCTTGCGGGCAGCCAACGCTCCCTGGGTTCCTGCTTGCAAAATGTCATGAGACGATGCTCTTGGAACCACAGAGGCCTTTGAATATTGATCGCTTACCCATCAGATAGGTTTATTTTCTTTGTAATGAAACAACTGCATCTGCCCCCCTGAAAAATGAAATCGCCCCCTGGGGGGCATTATTGCCCACGTTAAGAACCACTGATATAAGGGCCCGAATCCTATTATTTACACTCTGCCCCCTGGCAAACTGCAGTAGGGCCAAATTTCGGGTGGGGAAAGGCCCCATGTTTACAGGGGTTAGTTGAAGCATTTTTTTCCTTGCACACCCAGGCTGTGCAAACTCGACACACCACCAGAAATGTCTACACCGACATCTTAACTCAGGGCAGTTTGCTACCGAGAGTTGTGCCAAGTTTCTTGTGCCAGGATTCGGGCCACGTTCAGAACACAAACCACGTGGAGGGCGATGTCTTTGGCGGAAAGTCGGGCACACAAAGTGCCAACATAAGCAGCAATAAAATGGGCCCCGAGCAGGATCCGAACCCAGAACCTCCAAGACGCGGTGGTTGTTCCCCTGGACCTTGAGCAGAATGGGTGTAAAGCAGCTCCTTGCTTTCCTTCCTGTAAGACTGGCTTTCCTTCTTCTCTCCCCCCATTTTCCCAGGGCTTCTTCCGGAAATCCTACAGTCCATTTTCGAGGAACAAGTCAAAATGCTACGGAATGGCATCATTGAAAGTGAGGTTTTTTTACACATTCCTTTCCTTTTGAGTCCATTCCTTCAAGGATGGACCTGCATACAGTTCAGGGGGAAAGAAACATTATCAAGTTGCAGTAACCACCCCCCCATCTCTCTTTTGCCCCCTCCTTCCCCATTTAGGCAAAGTGAAGTGTGAACGCCACTGTGGTAAGTGACCCCAGTCCTCAAAGAAAAAAAAAACGTGCGGTGTAACACTCAGGGAATATTTTATTCAGGAGTCAGCCTTCCCGAGAGTAAGCACATTCCCCATCATGGCTCTTTGCTGCCCGACACCCATCCTGCCATGTCTGAAACCCCAGTTTTTTTAAACCACCCGGGAGCAGCGTTGCAGTGGAGTGACTTCAAGAATGAAAATCCATCTGATCGTCCTTTTGCTACTTGGGGCATGCATGCATGGCTTCTCTCTTGCACTCTCTTCGTCCTTTTGCTACTTGGGGCATGCATGGCTTCTCTCTTGCACTCTTTTATGGTGCTTTGGTTCTTTTGCTTAATCTCAAGCGCCAAAGCCTTATTTTCAAAACGCACTTTGTTCTACACTTAAAGAAGTTCCGTCTGCCCTCCGAGGTCCTTCGTTACTGCTCCAGTTCTGTTTCAAAAGGGCACTTGTTACTTATTTTGTTTTCCCCCTTGAGTAGGCTGCAGACGTGCTTTTCAGCGCAGCAAACTCCCCTCCCAGGTTCTCAAAACAGCAGCCCTCCAGAATTTTTTGCACTACAAATCCCAGTAGCCCTCCTCCACCCAGCCGATGGTGAGGGATGATGGGCGTTGTAGCCAGGAAGGCTGCATTATGCCTTGATCCTGCCAAAGTATGTGTGTTTGCATTTCATAGGGGGCTTCCCTCTTTTTTTCTTTACCTTTCAACTGTTTTTCAACCTTTTCTTTCCCCTGCTCCTCCCCAGGAATAAACGAGTACGAAGCGATCTCTTGTGAAACGTGCAACAAGACCAAACCAATTTGTTTTGGATATAATTGCGAGTAAGGATGATCTTTTTCTTCTCTTTTTTTTTCTTTTTTGGAAAGGAGGGATAAGGCAGGAACTGGGTAGCAAAGAGAACGCGGGATGGGAAAGGACTCGCAGGTGGTTGGCGCCATTGTATATATTTTGCAGCCTGTAAATAGGGTTTTTGCTGCAGCTTATGCACAAGATGCAGCCCATGGGAAAGTGATAAAGTTACTTGTAAGGCATTGCTTCCAAACCTGACTTCTCACGTTCCATTTCTCCGACAGGTCCTCTGAGAAATGGGAAGAAGCTCTCAAAGGTCTCTATAAGCACATGTGAGTCCCCAGGAACAGGCATGGAGGTTTCCGGAGGGGGGGGAGGTAGGGGGCATGTCCAAAATGGCACTTGGGAGGGGACGGTTAGGCCTATTGGTTGGCGCACACAGAGCCAATGGTGCAGCTAAGCTGGAGCCTCCACCAGAGGAGACCCTCCTTTCTCATCTGAATCAATAAAGGCATTTCTAAGAGGAAAAGATGGTTTCGTCTATGCAACCATGCCTCAATCAACTTTTGATTGTTAGCGTGGAGAAAGCGTGGCTTCCTTTGCATGCTGGGAGGAAGCCCTGAAACATTTGCGTGCCTGGAGGGACAAGCCCCGTAAGAACTAGAAAGAACCTTAGTCTGAAATGCTGATTCTCACCCGATCTCTGGTTTTTCTCTCCCTCCCGCCCTCTTTTCTCTTTCAGAAACAATTTACGCACGTAAGTTGGGAAATTTTTACACCTCTTTGTAACTCAGGGTCTTCTTGATCTTTTAACTTTCTGTAGAAAATAATTCTGTGACTCCAATGGAGTTCCTCGGAGCCAGTAAATGCTCCTGAACACATCCGCCTTGCTTAGGCACAGAGCGGTCCTTCCTTCACCCCCTTTTATGAAACCAAACAGAGATGATACAGGGAAAGAGGTGCGGGTGGGGTTATCAATACTTCCAGCAGGCATCACGTTGCAAAGATCTATTCCCCCCCCCCCCCGATTTCTAAAAAACGTGGCTGTTGCATCTACAGGCAGCCAGACAAGTGGGAGAGGGGCTTGAAGCAACTCCCTGGATTTAGGTAAGTGCCCATTTCCTTGAACGGCCCTGGGGAAACTGAGGGATCTGAACAGGCCAGTGGGTGCAGGAGAAACGGAGAATCGGGCCCACTTCCAAGCTGGGCAAAGGCCGGGTGGTCTGGGCTGGTGGGTGGGCAACCCAAGTCCTTTCTCGTAAAGAACAGGGGGGCTTATCTCCTGTTGAGCACACCCCACATGCCAGTTAGGGAAAGGGGTCACCCCGCAGGCTCCTGATCCCCGCTTGAAAGCTCTCGAGTCCCAGCGTCCTTTAAAAAAGTTTGCTGTCTCCATCGCCAAGGCTGTGATTTTAACTAGAGACTGCTGACCCCCGTGATAGCGTGCCGTTTCTTTACAAAAAGTAGAGACCAGAGAGGCAAACCTCAGCAGGAAATGATTTGTGAGCAAGGTTTGGAAACTTTTAGAAACTTCTGCTGATCCCCCTTGACTCTTGTCTTTCTCGCTTTTGCTGCAGCCACTGCGCGTCGAAAAGGTACGTAACCCTCACCAGAAAGGTACGGTGCTGAGGCTTATAGGATTTACATCTGTGTGCTGAGCGGAGCATCCACATGCCATATACAGAAGCAAAATGAGGGATTCATGATTCGAGGGAGCGAATGTCTCACTTTGTGGAGGACGTTTGATGGCTGGGGATGATTGGTGTTGTGGTTTGAAGAGAACTGGAGAGCACTAGGTTTTGGAAAAGGAGAAGCAGGCTTGTTTGCAAGATAGGTAGATCGATCGATCTAGCAAGGGTGTCTCTGAATTCTTGTATTAAATTTGACATGGTTTTATTCTCCCTCCCTTGTTCTCTCTTTTTAGTCCAGAGAATCTCAACTTTACAAGTAAGTTTTCCAGTTGGGTGGCAGTTATTTGAAGCCCAATTCTTCTTACTAATAGCCATTTCTTAAACCAATGTGCCTGCCCAGGTTTCCCCTACTAGAAACAATAAAGTTTCAATACTACCCCCCCTCCCGGTAACCAGTATTTCTATTATCTTGAAATGTTCTAAGGCAAGCTAGTCAAGCTCTTAATCTGGGAAGCTTTGGGCCAAACTGGAAATTCTTACTGAATTTGATACATCTCATGTCTGAGGCGAAGCAAAATTCGTCAGCAGTTAGAGCACGAACAGAACAGTTGCAAAAATAAGATTTCCTAGATTATGTACACACCGGGCATCTTCAAGGCAGATGGACAGAAACTTTAGAGACCACTGGGTGCTAGCACCCACCCCATAATAATGTTTAACTGACTCCAAATAGCCACTGTTTTAAGATGGAAATCCCCTTAATTTTTTTTTAATGTCATAAATTGTGGACAGAAAGCCAGAGGTCCCCATCCTGTAGTTTCCTTCATTCAGAGTAGACCCACTGAATTAACCAACCCCACAAATCCTCCCGATGCAGCGGGTTTAACTCTAGTTTAGGCCCGGCTGTTGGATTTTGGCCGTGTGATCCAAAGCCAGGAATAAATATTCTGGGGATGGAGGGCAGGACTGAAATAAAGGTGGGCAAACACAGCCTTTGTTCCCTGACTAGCTTTTCTCCTTCCAGATATACGACGAACTCTGTACAAAAACTGGCTCAACATCATGGCCCTGAAGGAGCTGGAAGGGGAGATGAAAGCCCTACAGTTACTCGCCCCGAGCTGCTGAAGGATTTCTGTAAATGGCAAGAGGCCACAATTTGGCACCTCAAATAAAATTATGTAAGTGACCGATAGTCCTGTGGTAACTGACCCATGCGGCCCCTGTCCAGCCGGGTCCTCGCCTCCGGATCATCTGCGGATTCTGTTGGCGTTCAGCGAGGTTAGGAGAGGGGGGGAAAAAGGGAAATTAAATCATTTTTTCTCTCTCGTGTCGGGAAAGCTCAAAGTGATACAGGTCTGGAAGACAAAAAAGAACACACCCAATTCTGTTGCATTTTCTCCACAAGAAAACCCCGGTTGCATTCATGGGCTGTAAAAACTCACAAAAGCTTTTAGAAAAAGAGTAGTAAAACACCATTTGGGTGGAGTCTGTTATGTTTTGTGTCCTCGGCTACTTTTAAATTGGTTGCACTTCTTAGCCGTTTTCCCTCGGGATCCATTTTTGACCCTGGTTTTATATCAGCGGGCCTGGCAGAGAGGTTCACCCTGGAGGCCACGGCCCTAACGCAGGAACAAAAAGGGAACAAACCGTGCGGCCTTCTTCCGCACTCCAGGCCATATTTCAACGGGGATTCGTGCACAATCCAAACGTAGACTGTCCCCCCAACGAAGTGCTTTTGAGTGGCTTCGTAAATTGGGGAGCACTTTAAATACGGCTCGTAATTCTGCTCATCGGGAGGGGTGGGTGAGTGCCAGTTGAGGCCAACCAGGGAGCTTGGCAGGAGATCCAAACTCGGGCGAATCGACCATCGGTACGAATGACAGACGGTGGCCGTTCAGTGCGATTCCTGCCCTCTTCAAATCAAAGCATAAATGTCTTTCCAATCCAACTGTTTTTGAAATTTTATTGGATCATCCTGACACCAAAAAAAATAAAAAGTGGGGGGGGGAGAGTTACAGTAGCTTCATGGTATGGTGGTCTTCTTCATTTGTCTTTTTTCCCCCCTGGGGAATGTCAATAGCAAATAAGTTTTTATTTTTATTTTTTTAAACATAACATATTGTACATATCATTTCAGAATTTTCTAGAATCACCACACAGGGGTTTCTGTAAGAGAACAGACTCTACATGCTAAAGTGACAAGTTTTCATCCAGGAATATATATAGATATATATATATATATTGAAATCCACTAATTTTCCAAAGAGTGATTTGCCTTTCCAGACGACTTCAAATATGCACAGATTCTCAATCTCTCTCTCTCTCCCCCCTAAAAAAAAAAAACAAGCCAGATTTGCCCACAAAAGGTTGACTGTCAACCCGCCTGCTGGGGCCCCAAAGTGTCACTCACGGCTTCGTCAAGTCCTGCCAGGACAGAAGGAAACAGACACGGATCCTTCTTGGTAAATCCGGTACCGTCACGCCAAAGAAAGGGGCTGTGCCCCACAAATAACCTCTAATGCAAACATTGTTGTTCTTTTAAAAAAAATTTGTATTCCTAACCACAGAGAAAAGAATTGAGGCACCGAGTGTCTTCATACAAAACGGACAACAAAACAAGCCAGAAACGAGACTTCTCCTCTCGTTTCCGCTTCTCCTTCCTCCCCCTACTAAGGACTGGAAAACAGAGTGGGGGTGGAGGGAGGTCTAGCGTTCATCAAGTGATGTTTTGGCGACAGAAGCATCGTTTCAAAAGCTAAGTGCTGAGGTGGAGGAACGCTCAAATAAATAACCACAGGTATCTCACTGCCTACCTGGTGGAGAAGGGTCTATAGAAGGAGAAACCACGAGAGCTCACGGACAGGAGAAGGAGAATGGAGAGGATCTCAGCCCCAAGGAAACAGAGCGTCCTCTCCCCCTGTCTGGAGCCGAGGCTGTCTTCCCTCATTTTTCAACATTTCCGGCTCCTCCCAGGTTTAGGGGTGCAGCCAGGGGGGAGAGAAGGGCTGAATGCAGAAGCAAGGGGCCAGGAAGGGTGGGGCACATCGGAGGAGAGCGGGGTTCATTGGGACGGTCTCTACCTAAGGATCAGTCAACCGAAAGGGGGAAAAGCCAACTACATGACAAAAGAAAACCGAGACGGAATTGAAGCAACAAGAGCAACAAAAAACACAGACATATACACATAATTGTACACAAAGCCTTTGGATTTCCAGGTGTTTGTTTCGCTTTTCCTGCTACATTCTATAATTTAAGGGATGGGGTCTGTTTCAGTGGGCCTTCGTGAAGCGATGGCGTGGAAAGCAAGCCACCGGAGGAGGAAATGCTTCTGACCTTCAGAGGTTTTTGGGAGGCAGAAAAAAAAGAGGATTGATTACGACAGAGGGGAGTTCTGGGCCTTGGTGTTGCCGAGTGAACGTTACTGGTTAGGATCAAGGGAGAGACCCCTCCAAAGGCAGTGATGCAGGCCACTGCCTGCAGCTCCTCGCGAGGAGACTGTGATGCAGAGGCGGCCAGAAAACTCATCCCAACCGACTTCTGGGGCAACTTTCTCCTTTTCCCACCCCTGCAAGGGAGTCAAGATCTGGCTGAGATTTTTTTGGGTCTGGAAAGGGTTTCCCTCGAGAAGAGATCAAGAAAGTCCAAAGAGGGGAGAGGAGAGTGCTTATTATTACTATTTTTTAAAAGGATGTGTAAACCGTCATAAAAATTAAGGTGAGCATGGAGGAAACATAATCACAAAAAACAAAAAAAAAAACCCTCAGCACAACCCAGAGTGGAGTGGAAATGAAAGACTACCCAAAAGAGAAAACCACATCCCGGGAATTATCGTACATGTGCAGGGAAAGGAGAGAGAGGAGGAGGAGGAGGAGGAGGAGAAAAGGATCCGATGGCTCGGCTGGGTTCAGTCTGTGTGCCTTGCGGGACGGCTCCTCTCGCAGAGATTTGAGGGACGGCGGGGAGAAGGAGGGAGACTCTTTTTTTCCCTCTTCCTTCCCAGGAATGCTCAGCACCTCGACAACGTCTCCTTGAGTTCCGAGAGCAGGTTGCCCAGCAAGGTGGCCTCGTTGCATTTCCCGTCGAGGGACACAGAATTTTCTCCCTTGAAGTAAGAAGAAGGGGAGGGTCGGAAGAGCAAAGGGGCTGCGGCCGGCTCGGGAAGTGATGGCCGAGGGAGCAAGAGAGAGAGACACACACAAAAACACCCCAAACCCCAGGAGCAGACCCCAGTGGAAATGGGGCAAGGCAGGCAACCTCGTGCCTCAAGACCAGGAAAACCTTGATATTTAGGCTCCAGGAAGCTCCTCCTAAGGACATGTCAGTGGGTTCAAGGACTGTCACCCGTAGCCTTAGCCCCATCTGCCCATCGCCACCCATCGTGACCCACCTCCTCACCTTTTTCACTAGCAGGCAGACATGATGGCCTTGGATGGAGCGGCTGTACATCGAGGCGCAGTCCCCCACTCGTTCCACAACTAGGAACAGGGAAACCAAAATCATCACCCTGGGGGTCTTTCCCCCCCAATCCCTCCACAAAAGCAAGGCCTAATCTATTGAAGCCTCTTCCCTCTGGGAGAGGGTCCTCAATGATGGTCGGCAAGAAGGGAGCGAGTGTCAGAAGGAGGTCGCCGCCTCCCCTTGAGGCCATCGGTTCCATTGTCACACTGCTCTAACAGTTAGGAAGTTTTTCCCGACATCCTGCCTAAATCCAACCAACCGAAAGACCTCAAACACAGCTGCATAGCCTCTGTAGTAATTTGGAGCCCGTGTCTTTGTGGCTCCCATTCCGTCCTTCCTCTCAGCCAACAAACAAGTGAAGGGGGAAAAACATGGCGGATCCCCTAACAGCTGGTGTTTGGGAGAAGTGGAGAATCCTGCCCTCGGAAGGCGTCCTGGTGCCCCAGAACAGGGAACTCACCCGAGAAATGATGGTAGAAACAGATTTTTGCAAGGATGTGGTGGAAAGGGGCCGTGATGCCATCGACTTTGAAGGAGCTGGCGTGCAGGTCCCCCGACTCTAGCAGCTTGGCGAACGCATCGCTGCGGGGAAAAGCACAGCGGAAGGCTTAAGGAGGCGGACGCAAAATCAATACAATGGTTCACTGCAAAAAACGTTGAACTGTTCAGATCCAACCCAGCCAGTGATCTGATTAAAATAAGGCCATCTCCATGGTGCATCCCTTATTACACCACCAACGATCACACGGCGCTACAAAAAACGTGACACTGTAATCGCGGCAGCGTTGGAGCGGGCGTCCTTGACTTCCTGCGGGGGGCAGCAGGCAAGGGAAAGCACCTACCTGTAGCAGGGCGTCGTGATCAGGTACGAGGCACAACTGAAGTGCAGTTTAAAATCTAGCTTCTCGTGCGTCGACCCTTCCTCATCCTGCGGGAGACACAGAGGGAAAGGGAGGTGGGAGAGTGGCCCTCCACCAAGACAGCTGGGCTGCTCTTGAGACCCAAAGGCCGCTCTTGACTGGGGAACGCAACTCCAGCGGCACCCACACCTTGAGCAGCTGGGCCGCGTTGAGATTGGAGGGCCGAAAGAAGACTTTGGTCTCTTCCAGCAGGTTGCGAGCCACTTGAGCGGTTTTAGCAAGCTGTGCCTTGGAGGTTTTGAACCCTGGAGTGTCCTGCCCTCTGCCCTGAGTGGCCCAAAGGGAAGAGGGAACTACGTTTGCTTGCGGCCCTTACTTTGACAATGAACGACAGCGTTCCTTTTAGCTTCTGCGCCATGATGATGCTCTGCAAGGTGAAGACAAACTGGGCTTCATTGGAGACGCCTAGAGAGAGAGAGAGAAAGAGAAGGGGGTGGAAATGTGGACAAATATTCTACAAGAAGGAGCGGATTAGCCTCCCTTCACCGCTGAGAACTCTTCCGTCTCAAATCCAGAGTGGTTGACAGAAGGCACTTAATTTGCTTCTTGCCTTCTCTTGTTTTAAGGATTTTTGCCTTCCCATCTTCCCAGCTCTTTAGCTCCCCCTCGGCCCCATTGCTCCTACAGTACAGCCCCCCTAAAAACATCCAAGCACCACCCCTACCAGGAGGCAGCTGAAAAGGGACGGGGATCCCGTCGTGAATGGAGGAGCCTTCCGGCCGGAGCATTTTCGTATTCAGCGAGTCTAAGACATTGAGTTCCATGCTCTTGAGGAAGCTGCCGCTCTTGTTCTCGAAGATCACTGAGGCGGTGACCTGGCTGTCGTTCTGCAGGTTGCCCTGGATGTCGTATGTCTGGAGGGGGGGAAAAGACGGTGTGGAGAAGAGAGAAATTCTTTAGAGAGATACAGAAGGAAATAAAAACGCTGGCACGTCAGCAAGCACAGAGGGCTGCTGCTGGAAAGGGCGACCCCAAGATACGAGAGCAGAGGTGGAAGTGTGTGAGTCGGCGGGGGCCACACATGGCCTCTTGAGATTCTGTGTAAGGACACCGGATCCTTCCCAATCACCTGCGCCCGCCAATTTCAACCCAAAAGAGAGAGAGAGAGACATCTCCCTCCACAAACCTCCAGGGGCGTGATTCTCCTCTTCGCTGCTCCTCCTCCCCCACCGTGGATCCTACTGGTGGCCAATCAATCGCGAAAAAGGGTCAGGGTGGCCCTTAAGATGTCAAGGTGGTGGTGGGGAAAAGGGGCAGATTTGGTCTTTGGAGACCCCGTCCTGGATCATTTCGGCATGTGGGATCTGTCACCCCAGAAGAAGGGGAAGATCCAGGAAGAGACCAGCCCAAACAGACTCACCATTTTAATGTATGCGTTTTCAGCGAGGACGGAGTAACTGGACATCGGCTGGAAAGGAGAAGAACCCAAGTCACTGCTGGCAAGGAAAACAAATTTCTAAATCCCAGGAATACCCAAGTGCTCCTGTATTGGCTGGGTGTCACAGGCTGCTCGCAGCCACACGACGCGAGCTTTGTTAGGGACATTTTGGGCAAACATCGGAGACGGCGATGGGAAGATCGGAGTGCCTTGTCTCTGTCTCGTGTGGCAGACAGGAAGTGAAAATGTCCTCATGCAGGAGTCAAGACTGCCTAACTGGAACTACTAGAATTAGAAGCCGATTTAATGACCTACTTGATTTATCTCCCACTTTTCTCTAGATGAAAAGGTGCAAGGTGGCTTACAACAGATATACCAATACGTAGACATAAAATAGCAATAAATTAAGACAGTATTCCACACATCTCTGCATTTCTTGTCATCCACGGGCAGGGTCTTCCTACCCATCTCTGCCTGGCCACTTCCCCTCCCCCCACCTTCGGGCCCCGCACAATCTCCTTACCGGCAGCGGCTCTTCCTCCAGGTCCAGGTCCCCGTTCTGCACCGATTCTGTTGGCACCTCTTCCCCGCTGCCATGATGCTTTTTGGACTTCTTCTCCTTGGCCTTCTCTTCCTTCTTATGCTTCTTCTTCTTATGCTTGGAGGGTTTCTACCGGGACAGGAGAAGCAGGCGTCAATTCTCCTTCGACCCCAGACATGGCTCAGAAATGGTCCCCGTGGTGGAACCAGCCGATCGGAGCTAGGCCGACCCCTTTCTCGGAGGAAAGGCGTACGCCCACCGCTGTTCCCAGACACCTTGCCACCGAGGCCTCCGTAACGGGGCTGACAGGTGATCTCCACCTTCAGCCATCACAGTGGTGGTTCTACCCCCTCACCTTCCCTGCTTCTTCCTCTTCTGCCTCCTCTTCCCGGACCTCCTTCTTGGCTTCATCCGGCTCTTCGCCATCCGCGGCTCCCATGCTCGACTCAGGAGGTGGAGTCTTGAGACAGAACGGGGAAAAACTGGAATTCTCACCTCCAGTCGGGGTTGACCGGGGGGGGGCAGCCCAGAGGAAAAGCCCAGATCTCCTCTGAGCAAGGCCCCCAGGGATGTCTCTCTGCTGCGTCACATCCCCACATATCACCCTCCAGGCATCCACAGGCAGAGTTTCTCTCAGCTGGCAACTGGGGTGATGGGAAAGGGCAGCCCACCCTGGTGTTCCGGCTTTCATCTGAGGCACCGGGAGAGAAGGACTGACCTTTGTCTCTGCTGCCACTGCAGGGGCCGGGGCATCAGACAGCCAGAAGTCCACCTCGTCAGGCTGAAACGAGACAGGGAAGGACCATTATGGAGTCACAGATGCATCATGTTTTCAAAGACACCCCCCCTTTTTGGAACAGCTCTGCAGTCTTCTCCCAGCTGGCCCTCATTTCCTTCCTTTCCAAAGGATAATTTTGGCTGGCGATGCGCCACTTTGTGACCCTCCTAAAACCGTTGCAATTTCCTTGGTCCGCTCCTCAATCTTTGGGGGAAACCTACAGGCCTTTCAAGGAACTGACGACACACCTCGGGCTTTTTTAAATTCCTAAAGCGGCTGCCCCCAGGGCACAGAATTACTTTTTTATCTTCCTCCTCGCTCTTCTTCTCCCGCTCTTTCCGCTTCTCTTTCTCCCTTTCTTTCTCTTTGTGTTTCTTCTCCTTCTTTTTCGGCTTCTTGCTTTTCTTCTCGGCTGGCGGGACGTCCGTTTCTTGCGGCGACTTGAGGACGTCGGCGTTCCTGTGCCTCTGTACGGGCAACTTCTCGCTGTCGGCTAAGGGCCTTTTTAAGAGAAGGAGAGAGAGAGAGAGAAAAGGGGAGAAAGGCATGGAGATGAGCTACTCCAGCAAAGAGGCTTTCTCCGGCGAAACTCATCCCTCATCTAACCCAGGCTACAAACATTTCCAAGGCCCCTCGGCCCAAATATCTTCAAACGCCATCAGTAGCAAGACACCATTCATTGCTCCACCTTGCCAGCAATTATGCAGAGCAGACATAAATTTATAGAAGTCGCCAAATAACCTAGAGAAACCGAGAAAGGGGTGCCATTCTGATCCCCCATGGTTTAGCCAGCTTCCTTGCATGAGTCACGTTTTACGCAAGGGGGGGAGAGGAAGGAGGAGCAAGAGCCCAACACTGGTCAACTCAACAAGCGGGTCAGCCAAGTAATCATTCTGTACGTCTCGATTCGAGACTTAGTTTGGGAACACCTGAGCAGGTGACTGCAAATCCAGACTGCCTACAGCTTATATCCAACTCCTCTCCTGGATCAGTATAAGACAAGGAGGGACAGATCCAGGCAGCCAACGATATTCTTTTACCCCAGCCTGCAAATAAAGGAATCTAGGTCTCTGCGGGCAAGGTGGAAGTCTCATTTTTCCAGACTTTCTGGACTGACGGAAACAAGAAGAGTCTCTTGGCTGCAAACTATGGGTGGGAAGAGCAGGATTGGACCCAGGTTGCTGTTTTTATTTCGTCCCCAGTGTTGAGCAGAAGCTCGCTCGCTTCCCCCGCTGCTAGAGAGACCAAGCTTACCTGGCCGCTTTCCCTGCAACCAGACTGTGTATGAGACGAGAAAGGAAGAGAAAAGAAGGGGGAAGGAGAAAAGAAAAATATGACCACAGAATTACAACCACAGTGCAGGAAAAGGAAGAGCAAAGAGAGAGACAGACACAAAGACAGCGATAGGTCTCGGGGCCAAGCCCTACGTCTCCTTCCACACCCAGCCTCGGCTACAAAATTAAGAGCACTGGGTTTTCTTTTGAAGGTGAATTATCCCGGGAGCAAAAACTTACGTACTTCTTTCCTTAAATTGTTTTAATACCCTGTTTTTCTCCTTCAGAGGGAGCCAAGGTGGCTTGCAAATCTTAAAAGAGACAACACCGTTTCAACAGGGCGTGCGCATGGGGAGACACCGCCCATCCGTGGGGCTTAACGGCGAGGGGAAGATGCCAGCAGTCCTGGCCAGCAAAGCCCACTTTAATTTGGAGAACGCCCAAGGAGGACACCTCCCCAGAACTCTCTTATCAGAGGGGGTGAAAAGAAACCCAACGTGAGAATGCAAAGCCAGAGGAAAGCCGCCCGTTTTTACGGCCCAGCAGGGACCCGGGGAAGGATGAGCCTTCGCTTTCTCTGACGGGAGATGCTCAGGGCTCTCAGGCCCGCGTCCTTCCTGCGTGGTGCGCTCGCTTGCGTTCTCTGGAAAACACGACCGGCCCTTGCTAAGGAAGGAAGGGGGCCACACGTGCCTACCTGTCCAGGTCGATGTCCAGGGCCTTGTAGGGATCATTGGGGTCTTTGTCATCCTCGTCGCTCGGGAGAGCGTTCTGGGAAACGGGCGAGAGGAGGGAAGACGCCGGGGTCAAAAGCACGGACTCCCCAAGAGGAAATTGGGGGAGGGGGGAATGAGCTCTGTCCATAACGATCGGGTTTTCCAAGGGGCTAGAAAGCCTCCAGGGCCTTCCCTCTTCCTGATCGGCCCTCATCATCACACCTCACCTCCGGCATCTCCTCCGTGATTATGTCCACGTGCTGGGCGGGAGCGATGTCCTCGTCGCTCTCCGTGTGCAGGGAGTTGGGGCGCCGGCTCCTGCCGCCCCGCTTCTCTTTCTTCAGCTTCTTCTTCTTCTTGTCCTTCTCCAGCTTCTGCTGGTGGCGCCGCTCCTCCTCCAGCTTCACATACTGGTCGGAGACGGGCATGCCTGGAAAAGAGAGAGAGAGAGACTGAGCACTGAAGGAAGGCGCTTCCGAAACCAACCGGTCCCTTAAAAATCTGACTCAGCGCTCAGTGGAACACCAAACTTTGGTTGTTTGCCTTAGTGGCCTCTTTCAGAAGGAAGACCTCTTAACTGGCCCAATGAACCTTCCCGGGCAGCGGGTTCCCACAGAGGCATCCGTCAAGAGTCCACAAAAGCTCTTGTCGGGCAAAACCAGGCGGCAAGGCTCCAGGTGGTTTCCAAACTGCAAGACCGCAGCGTGAAAAGCAGCCGCTCAGGATGGCAACTCCACCGGCGGATTCCACCGCTGGCATTCTGCGTCTGTCAGAATCCTGGCTACTGATTTTCCAGGCCAGAATGGGCTGTTTGGAGGGGAAGCCCGGGGGGGAGCCTTCAGCCCATTTTCCTACACTTCTCCAACCTGAAGCTCTCTCCCGAGGCAGCTGGAGACTCTCCTCTTTTACATGAACAACGGCACTCGCAGGTTTCTCCTTACCAGGAACTTTTAAAGGAACGGAGAGATCAATCTGAACCACAGGGATGTGCTCGACGCCAGGACTGTCTTGGTACCGCTGCGGGAAAAATGGGGGAAGTCAGCGGATGGATGGCCACGGGGGCTCTGTATAACTTGACAAAAGACCAAAAGCCTGACAGGAAAGGACAGGGAGGGCCAGGGAATCCCTGGACACAAAAATCAGCCGCTAAAACGCTTCTTAAGATTTCTGCACTGCCCAGCAGGACCATGTTTTCTGGATATCCCACCAGTGAAAAACGGCACAGTACAAACACAAAACAGAACACAAAGGATCTTGGTAGGATTTCAAACGAGGGTGGCGGCTACAGGGGTTAATTTTCTGCCTCTGGGATAATCCAGGGGCTGCGTAACCCATGAGGAAGTACCTCCCTCGCAACCATGGAGCTTAGATGCACTGGAAGGCGGGCGTTGAGCCATGCAGGGGCCAAGACCCCCAAAAGCACTCAGGAAAAGCACCGGCCGGTCCAAGAGGGTCCCCATCAAAACAAGGCGCCCGGCTCACCTTTTGTGGGGAAGGAGAGCTTTTGATGTAGAACGGATTGTTCGCTTGCTCTTGCTTTCTGACTTCTCGGCGCTTTGAAGACACAAGGAAGAAATATATATTATTCATAAAGAAGAAATATTATTCTCTCTCTCTCTCTCTTATGATGTTCTGAGTTTCACTTTTGGAACTTGTCCTGATGTTGCGCCAGACCACTTTTTATGCTCTTATTGTGTTAGAGGAAACCCACGACACGACCAAGCCATGGAAAGAGAGCTGCCCAAGATCCTGATTTTCACCAGACCCCACCCCCCAAATTGGGCCAGGAGGGCCCATCGTGTGCCCACCCCCCTTCCGAGGCGGCTCACCCTGGCCAGCTCCTCCTCGTCCATTTCGGGCAGCCGGTGCCGGGGGGCCCTCTGTTCCTCATCGTGGAAGATCGTCCTGGGCTTCTCGTCTTCGGACTCGCTGTCTGATGGGGGCTCGTTGATCCAGGCATCGAGGTCCAAGCTGAGAAAGAGAGAGAGAGAAACTTCGTTTCAGGCTGGCTGTTAAAAGCACAGAGGGTGCTGTGCTGCTTATAATCGGCTCTTATTTGCATTACTATTAGGATGGTTGCTTGCCATCAGAGCTCTTCCGCTCTTATTTGCAGAAGGAAAAGTGAGCTTAAACTGAGCTGCATTAATGCATCAACACAGGTGTGTACCTCCTTGTCCTTTTAAAACAGCGTCGCCTCGCTCTCTTCCCTCCAACGGGCTGGGAGAGAGAACAGGGCCCCGGGCTGAGCGAACCACCGCTGCTGAGGCTGGGCGGAAACCCCTCTTACCCTTCTGGAACAGGAACTTTCTTCTGGGCTTTGGGGGCCACGGGGTTCAGCTCCCCGGCAAACAAGGCGCTGACTTCCTCAGCCACGGGGACCTCTTTGATCTGAAGCTTGAGGATGTATTTCATGAGCTGAAGGATGCAGGAAGCCTTCGGATCAAAGAGGAGAGGAAAGCTGCCATGAGGGACCTCCCCGGGGAGGCACAGAGACTAGCAACCTGCCACGCTTTGAGAGATTCCTGTCGGAGAGTATAAAAAGACTCCCACCTACCCTCTCCTGGACTTCGAGGTCAGCGCTTTGCACAAACTGAGGCAGGCGCTCGATCATCATCTGCGTGGCCTCCTGGGCCGCCTCCTTCTCCCCCGCCTGCTCCTTCTGTTGCAAGATGGAGGCGTACAGCTTCACCATGTTCTGGACATAAACCGCTTGAATGTGGCCCGGCAGCGTAGTGACTTTGGGTCGCAGCATGGCCTCCAGGGTCTGCTGGGGCTCATCCAGGTGCCTGGGAGGAAGAGAGCCGACTGAAAGAGGCAAGTGAAGGGAGAGAAAGCGCCAGCCTGGGATGGAAGTTGGAAAAACCACAAGTACCACCTTTCTTTGGCTGGGTTGAGGGCTCCCTCCCGGGGCTGCTTTGGGGAGAAAGGGGCCCCACCCTGCTTCCTTGCATCTGTCCAGAAAACGGTCTGCAAAAAAAAAAGGGGGGGACTGCCTCTCCTTGGAGGATCCAGGAATGGAGAATGATCTCTTAAACTCATGGCACAGTGGTTAAACTGCTGTACTGCAGCCAAAACTGTGCTCATGACCTGGGGTTCAATCCCAGGTAGCGGCTCAAGGCTGACTCAGCCTTCTATACCTCCGAGCTCAGTAAAATGAGTACCCAGCTTGCTGGGGGCGGGGGGCAATGTGTAGCCTGCATAATCGACTTGTAAACTGCCCAGAGAGTACTTGAAGTGCTATGGGGCGGTATATAAGCAGCACGCTTTGCTTTTGCTTTTTGCTTTTAAACAGAACACAACTCCCTCTGTGACAAAATATCCACTTTACAAAATAGGAAGGCTTCTCGCCCCCTTTCGTTCTCCACCTCCTCCCCATTTTTATTTCCTCGCTGCCACTCCCCACGCCAAAAGGACTGAAGGAAGTCACTAACTCCGGGGCCAGGTTCAGCGTCAGGGTCTCAGGTCTCCTCCCCCAAGACCGGCCACCCCTCGGGGCTTACTCGGAGAACTCCCCGCAGATCCAGGCGGCGGCGTAGAGCACCTCGCAGATCCCGTTGCGCTGGGTGTTGCTGGCCAGCAGGTGGGCGTTGTCCAGCAGCATGGCCATCTGCGAGACGGCGAACCGGCGGATGGCCTTGACCCGGATGGCCACGTCTAGCATCTGGGAGGCGATGAGGTGGCCGTGGCGGGTGCCCTCCAGCCGGGTCAGCTCCACCAGGATGCTGATGTACCTGGGGTCAGAAGGTGGAAAGAGAAGCGGCGGGTGATCTTCCAAGATCAATGAGCCAAGGGGCAGGCGGAGGGAGGAGAGGGCCCGACGAGGCCGAGAGACACTGACCATTCAAAGTTGGTGATGTACTGGTAGTTCGACTGGCTGCAAATGTCGATGATCTTGGTCAGCAACTCGTCCCGGTAGGTCGTCCCTTCGGCTTTGTCCACGTGGATCATCAGCTTCTTGACGATCTCCATCAAGTTCTTCTTGGAGACCTGTCGGGCGCACAGCCAGAAGGAAAAAGCGGCAGGGTTAGAGAGCGAGAGCACTTCAGCCATAGTGGGTTCCTCTGAAATAGGTGCCATAAGGCTGCCTGACATAAACCAGGGACAACCTCAAATTGGAGGACGGGGCGAGGAAGCTCTCTCAAACTGAGGACTGGATTCCAATCCCAAGAAGTCCTCAGGGGTCCACCTTCCAGCGATGGAGAAGCCAACGTGAAAAGGACAGGGACCAACGATACTGGCATGTTGTGACAGAAGGCTCTCAGGGCCAGAAACCAAGCTGTCAGTCCAAGCACCTCCGGGGGGGGGGGGGGGAAGAATGAAGGCCAAAAGGTGGGGCACCCCCAAACAGGGCAGTGGCCAAGTGGCAGTGACCCCTTCCTCCCTGAAGTTTCCCCTGTTGGCCCAAAAAGCAAGAACTGAGCATCAACTCTTGCGACGCAGGCCTGCAGGGGGTGGGAAGCAGCCCAAGGCTCATCGCAGGGAGAATGGCATGGGGCTGGAAAGCATCTTTCACAGGCTGACTTTTCTCTTCTCCCCAGAAGTCTCTTGATTCCTCCTGCGCTGCTCTCTGCCGGCTGGTGGACCCTGGCCTTTTCTTTTTCTTTTTTTTCCTTAGGTAAGCTGCTACCGATGCCATTCTCCCCCCCCCCCGGCCAACTCCTCCCTATTTTTGGAAGGCAAAGTGGGAATACAAGGAGCCAGCAGCCAGAGGGGGCTCCCGCAGGGACTCACCATTCCATAGAGGAGGTCCAAAGCTCGGAGGCGGATCGACTCGTCCTTGTCGTCCAGGCACTGCAGGATGAGATCCTTGTGGGACTGGACTGATTTTGGGTGAGTCTTCAGGATTTTGGACATGGCCAGCAGTCCTAAATACTTCACTGCGGAGAAGAGGAGGAGGAAGGGCGAGGAGAAGAACGATGAGGTCTAAGCGTGTGCACCCCTGCGGAGCGCACCGATCTAGAAGAGGGACACGGGGAGGGCAGCTCTCCAAATGGGCTTGGACTACAAACCCCATCATCCCTCATCAGCTGAGGCCACTGAGAATTTTAGGGGAGGGGAGGGGGGACCAAGTCCCACCCGTAGCATCCAGGAGACTGAAGCGGGCAAGCACACCTGCCCTTCAAGTGAGACGCAGACGTGGGATGTGTACAGGCCGCAGGGGGAGCACCCAGGACAAGCCTTTTCTAGACCCAAGCTGGCGATGGATCTCTGTGCCTCTGGCAGCTTCCCCTCCGCGGACAGGAAACGTGTCTGCTTTTAAACCGCATCTCCCCGAATCCTCGGAGGAAAACATGGCCACGGAGTCTCACACCAAGGCCACGGCTCCCCGACTTACGGTTCTGATCCGAGTCTTCTATCAGGATCCTCAGCTTCTGAACGCAGAGCTGCGGGGAGAAACGCACGCTGCCGATCCGCCTGGCTGGATGGGGAACAGAGCGCCGCCGGGCCCCTCTCCAGCAAAGCGTGCGCCCGCGCAGTGAGCCTTGGGAGGCCAGTTGGAGGATTCTTCCCCCCCCCCCGTTCTAGACTCCAACCAAGGTGCCAAACAGAACCCAAACAAACCGGGGACCCCCCCAAGGAAACAAGAGAAGGCCGTACCTGGATGCTGGCGCTGTGGTTAGGCATCCCCGAGGAGAGCGAGATCAGAACTGAAAAGGCAGAAGAAGGCAAAGGTTTGCAAGGCGCTGAGCAGGTCAAACGGAAGGACTCCGGAGCCGGCAGGTCCTTCTCTTACCTGCTATCACGGTGTTCACGCACTCATAGAGAAGGGACATGGCGGATGTGCTGGAGAGGAAAGAAGCAACAGGGTTATGGGCGACGGGACCCAGGAATCACCCCCGAGCCGCTTCCAAATGGAGGCCGGCCCGGGCTATCCCCAAATCTCCACCTTTGCCAGGGCAGACAAAGAAATCCAATGTTCTTGCATTTTTTTTAAAAAAAATGACTCTGGTTTAAAATGAACATCTCCACTGCACTTTGGCAGCTTGGTGAACTGAAACAGGAAAGCCATGATCCCTGTCTTCTTGAATCCCCCAAAACCTGCTTCTACAGATGAAGAAATTCAAGGGTTCGCCCCCAAAATAATAAATAAACAAACCCACGCTACCGCTAACATCCAACTGGGTTTAGGCCCTAAAGGATCTTAGCACCTCAATGATTAAGGGCAAGAACCTGTCTGGATTAGTGCTTGCGACCATCAAGCGCCAGGCTTTCTGGGTTTTGTAAACGGACACAGGGCAGCACCACAAACCACGTTGCAACACAGAGACAAGTCCACGCACATTGTAACAGGTAGCACCCCAAATCTGCGGCCCACGCCGAGGGCCACAAAATGGTCTCAAGTCTCCCACTCTTGCTTCACAGCCTCGGGGGGGAGGGTGTCACGTGAACCCCGAACCGAGAGGCGTTACGGGTCAGGTCCGCAGGGAACCAGACGAAATTTCTCCGCGGCATCATCTAAGTCGACTAAAGGCAGGAGAAGCGCAGGGTGAGAGGGGCAGGAAGGAGGGTCGCGCAGGACGGGCAGGTAGGAAATATACATACTGTCCGTTTGGTTGCAACTCTCGGGAGCAGACTAATTTTTTATCTCTGACTGGGCTGCCATGAACTCTACCCTCTTTGGGGGATTGGAAGAGGGCGCGCTGGCTGTTTGAGGAGAAAAAGGAGGATTAAACCGGAACGCCCTGCCTTTCCTCTGCTCCGCCCGCTCGACGTAGAGCGAGGGAGGTCACTCGTCAGCCTCAGGAGACCCTTCCGGGAATGGGCTTCCTTGAGGAAGGCCACCGAGCCCCTTTCGAAAGAAGCCAAGTACGAAATCAGGTGTGGATCTGACCCGGAGCTTCTCCTTGTTCCCTCGTTTAAAAACACTCGCCTGCCGGGGACCAGAGATGCTGAAACCGCGGGACCTCCCCCTGACCACTTGGAGGAGAGGAGAAGCAGGATTTCTGGAGAGGCATTTATAGCTTAGAGCGGGAGGGGGAGAAAAACCTCTCAAAAGATAATGAGCAATTTTACACTGATTTTTCTTCACCATGTTCTAACAGCCTTAATTGCACCACCCTAGCCACGCAATGCTGCCTCTATTATTTTCCATTTTCCCCCTTATCTCAACACTCCCTTCGAGCAGAGTGCTCCTCACGCATTGGGAAAACCAGAAGAAAAACGGAGAGAGGCACTTTTACATATTTGCTTGAATTTACAAAGCTCTTCTTGGATTTGGCCTTAGTCACGAAATTTTTAATCTAATCCTAAATTGATGTCGGTGTGAAGGTCTCTCCCCCCCTCCCCATTTCTCAAAAGGGAGGAGCAGCAGTTAAAGACGTTTGAGAAATGATGTATAAAAGGACCAGAAAGAGGCCCCAATTCCACCGCAGACCTTGCTGGCAGAGAAGGAACAAGCCAGAAACAGCCAACATTGACTCATTTCCCCTCTGCTCCGGATTTTCATTTGGGTGGGGTTCACCCAGGCAAGCTCCAAAAAATAATAATAATAATCCAGAAGAAAAAGGCCATCCTTTAAGTTCTGGGTCCTGAACCACCGGGCAGGCTGAGCCCCACCTTACCTGTGGATGAGGTTGGTGAGGGGCTCAATGAGCTTCTTGCCCAGTCTGGGTTCCAGCGGAGTGAGAGCACCAAACTGCAGGAGAAGGACAGAGGCCGAGAGGGGCCGTTGAGCGGAGAGCAACCCTAAGAGAACCGTGTCTCTCCCTGGAAGACTTCAACGTTTCACAGCCAGCGTTTTCCTGCAAGCCCGGTTAAGACAGACTCTTGGACAGCAGGGGCCCCAATTCCATGCCACGGATGGAGGACGTGCGGGCCCCTTGCTGGCGCCTGGGGGGATACTTGCCAGTTTGATGATTTTGATGAGGACCCAGTTGTTGGTGGACGAGGTCATCAGCTTGAAAAAAAGCGGTGCCAGGGACAGGTAGTTTTTTGGGTTGCGCCGGGCCAGTTCGCAGATGACGTTGACGGCGGCGGACTGGACGCCTGGAGGGGGGGGAAACGCAGGCGGCGGATGAGGGAGATACAAAGACCAGAAGAAGTTAAAGGACTTGACCGAGGCTCTCGGAAGTCAGCCGAGGAGGCCCAGAAAGGACAGAGAAACATCACCCGCTAATTCATCCCTCTTCTCTCTGTTGTCTTAGTCTCCCTCTTGCCAGTCCTGAACCCCAGCCAGATGTGCCCTCGGTCTTTTAACGGCTGGAGCTCTACTCCCCCCACACTCCCATTTCCATCCAGGCCCTCAAGGTCCCAAGGGCCTCCTTGGATGTGCTCACCAGGATCTGGGTCTTCCAGTTTCTCCTTAAGGCGGGGGAAGGCAGGCCGGAGGGATTCAGGATATTTCAAGAAGACTTTGTACATGATCAGCACTGCCTTCTTCCGGATGTAAGGCTTCGTGTGGGACATCTGGTGGCCGAAGGTGGGGAAGAGAAGTGGCAAGAGGAAAAAGAACTGAGCAGCTATTTTTCACAGCCCAGGAGCAAGGTTTATTTTATACCAGCGCACTTCTCCTTGCTCCTAAGAAGAGATGGGGGGGGGGGAAATCCCACTCGACCACCCAGGCTCTCCTGCAGGGAGTGGCTGGCGCCCCCAGGAGGTTGGCTACAAGAGGCGAAACCAGGCTGGCCTTGTGGGCCGGATGTCCCCCAGGAAGGACTCACCAGGGTCATGATGTCATTGGCCAAATCTCTGGCCAGATCCGGCGTCACAAAACACGACAAACCCGTCAGCGCCACCCCGGTGTCGTACTGGTTGGGGCTGCTCAAGTCCTGGAAGACAGGAGGGGCAGAAGAGATGAGAACGGTCTTTTCAGTCAGGAAGGATGGTGTGGGCTCAGCCTGAAGCAAGCCCTCGGATGTCACCCCCTGCAGCACCCCATGGACCAGCTCTGCCGAAGAAGAGCGCCGGGGTGCGGGCACCCCATGGGAAACGCTCACCTTCCGAATCTGGTTGGTTGTCAGCATGATGACATCAGTCCCTTCATGGAAGCACTGAGAGGCAGCCAGATACCCGATCCGCTGCGTGAGGAAGGGAAAGAGAGTCTCACACACTACCACAGAGTTCAAACGCCGCCGGCTGTCAGTCAGGTACAGCTCAAGGCGGAGGCAGAAGGCTGATCCAAATACTTCAGGAAGGATTTCAGACAGT